CGGTTAGACAGCCCTACCTACACACAAACACACACCAGACATCAAACAATTGTAAACATCAAACAGCCAACAAACAAGACAGCCACACAAATAGACATCAAACAACTGCAATCTTCAAACAACCACAACAAACAAGACAGCCACACACATAGACATCAAACAACTGCAATCTTCACACAACCACAACAAACAAGACAGCCACGTCTTTGAAGCTGAGGAACTTGATGCGTGCGGTGATTTCATTTCAAGCTAATTAATGAGTATAAAATGTATTGTTTTGTGCTAATTAGTTCCAGCAGCGACGGTAAAAATACGACAGACTAGCGCGGTGGTAGCTTGTGCCCTTACATCATTTAAATAACCAGACTGTAGGGGTCCTCATTAAATATCAGTACATTCATCGGAGGTCTTTGAGTCCAGCCTGTCCTCTCTACCGTGTCCTCACGACTCCCGATGTCCTGTCCAGTCTAAAGTGTCCTCACAAATCTGTCCTGTCCAGTCTACCGTGTCCTCACGACTCCCGATGTCCTGTCCAGTCTACCGTGTCCTCACGACTCCCGATGTCCTGTCCAGTCTACCGTGTCCTCACGACTCCCGATATCCTGTCCAGTCTACCGTGTCCTCACGGCTCCCGATGTCCTGTCCACTCTACCGTGTCCTCACAACTCTGTCCTGTCCACTCTACCCTGTCCTCACGACTCCCGATGTCCTGTCCAGTCTACCGTGTCCTGTCCAGTCTACCGTGTCCTGTCCAGTCTACCGTGTCCTCACGACAAAACCGAGAAAAGCAAATACCTTGGTCTCACATGGACATGACATCAGGCCAGTTAAATGTGTCATGGCCCAGGATCTTACTCCATCACCAACTGTCAGTATTGATTTTCGCCACAGTTCCGGAGGTCTTATCTGGAAGTTGCGCAACGTTATTGGTCACGTGTAGAGGGTACAACACTGCAACTGTCACGTTTGGGTACAACACTGCAACTGTCACGTTATGGGTACAACACTGCAACTGTCACGTTTGGGTACAACACTGCAACTGTGACGTTATGGGTACAACACTGCAACTGTCACGTTTGGGTACAATACCGCAACTGTCACGTTTGGGGGTACAACACTGCAACTGTGACGTTTGGGTACAACACTGCAACTGTGACGTTTGGGTACAACACTGCAACTGTGACGTTTGGGTACAACACTGCAACTGTGACGTTTGGGTACAACACTGCAACTGTCACGTTTGGGTACAACACTGCAGCTGTTCACATCTGGCTGGGACCTGAACCACCTCTCACGTCGTGACCTAACAATCAGCACACCCAAGAGATTAGTCGCTACACGACTGGTCACTTCTGGACCTGAACCACCTCTCACGTCATGACCCAGCAGAGTCAGTACATCCCAGAGATTAATCGCTACATGACTGGCAATAGCCAAGTGAACACAAGGGAGAGGGAGGGGACTTAGATGACTGGATGTGACATTTTTGAAACACCAGTTGATTTCAAGCTGAACTGAAGGTACACTACAGCAGACATTATGATCAAGAGCGGACACACGACATTCAAACAACTTCAACAACAGGGAAGTGGCCAGTCAGTCAATTCATATTAGTTTGTTAATGAAGCAGCGATGGTCGGATAAAGTTTACGGATGTTTAAAACCAATGGTTTACCGCACCCTTCATAGCTGTAGTTTTACGAAAGATGGACCTTCTCAAAACCTTATTCTTGGATGATTCCAGTCCCAACCAGCATTTATTGTTTACATGTTTTAAACGTAAACCTATGTATCGTGTACAACAGGAAGTCTAGGATAAACACAAACCCAAGTAGAGACCTAGACAATGTACAACAGGAAATCTAGGATAAACACAAACCCAAGTAGAGACCTAGACAATGTACAACATGAAATCTAGGATAAACACAAACCCAAGTAGAGACCCAGACAATGTACAACAGGAAATCTAGGATAAACACAAACCCAAGTAGAAACCCAGACAATGTACAACAGGAAATCTAGGATAAACACAAACCCAAGTAGAGACCCAGACAATGTACAACAGGAAATCTAGGATAAACACAAACCCAAGTAGAGACCCAGACAATGTACAACAGGAAATCTAGGATAAACACAAACCCAAGTAGAGACCCAGACAATGTACAGCAGGAAATCTAGGATAAACACAAACCCAAGTAGAGACCCAGGCAATGTACAACAGGAAATCTAGGATAAACACAAACCCAAGTAGAAACCCAGACAATGTACAACAGGAAATCTAGGATAAACACAAACCCAAGTAGAGACCCAGACAATGTACAACAGGAAATCTAGGATAAACACAAACCCAAGTAGAGACCCAGACAATGTACAGCAGGAAATCTAGGATAAACACAAACCCAAGTAGAGACCCAGGAAATGTACAACAGGAAATCTAGGATAAACACAAACCCAAGTAGAAACCCAGACAATGTACAACAGGAAATCTAGCACAAACCCAAGTAGAGACCCAGACAATGTACAACAGGAAATCTAGGATAAACACAAACCCAAGTAGAGACCCAGACAATGTACAACAGGAAATCTAGGATAAACACAAACCCAAGTAGAGACCTAGATAATGTACAACAGGAAATCTAGGATAAACACAAACCCAAGTAGAGACCTAGACAATGTACAACAGGAAATCTAGGATAAACACAAACCCAAGTAGAGACCCAGACAATGTACAACAGGAAATCTAGGATAAACACAAACCCAAGTAGAGACCCAGACAATGTACAACAGGAAATCTAGGATAAACACAAACCCAAGTAGAGACCTAGATAATGTACAACAGGAAATCTAGGATAAACACAAACCCAAGTAGAGACCCAGACAATGTACATCAGGAAATCTAGGATAAACACAAACCCAAGTAGAGACCCAGACAATGTACAACAGGAAATCTAGGATAAACACAAACCCAAGTAGAGACCCAGACAATGTACAACAGGAAATCTAGGATAAACACAAACCCAAGTAGAGACCCAGACAATGTACAACAGGAAATCTAGCACAAACCCAAGTAGAAACCCAGACAATGTACAACAGGAAATCTAGGATAAACACAAACCCAAGTAGAGACCCAGACAATGTACAACAGGAAATCTAGGATAAACACAAACCCAAGTAGAAACCCAGACAATGTACAACAGGAAATCTAGCACAAACCCAAGTAGAGACCCAGACAATGTACAACAGGAAATCTAGGATAAACACAAACCCAAGTAGAGACCCAGACAATGTACAACAGGAAATCTAGGATAAACACAAACCCAAGTAGAGACCCAGACAATGTACAACAGGAAATCTAGGATAAACACAAACCCAAGTAGAGACCCAGACAATGTACAACAGGAAATCTAGGATAAACACAAACCCAAGTAGAGACCCAGACAATGTACAACAGGAAATCTAGGATAAACACAAACCCAAGTAGAGACCCAGACAATGTACAGCAGGAAATCTAGGATAAACACAAACCCAAGTAGAGACCCAGACAATGTACAACAGGAAATCTAGGATAAACACAAACCCAAGTAGAGACCCAGGCAATGTACAACAGGAAATCTAGGATAAACACAAACCCAAGTAGAGACCCAGACAATGTACAACAGGAAATCTAGGATAAACACAAACCCAAGTAGAGACCCAGACAATGTACAACAGGAAGTCTAGGATAAACACAAACCCAAGTAGAAACCCAGACAATGTACAACAGGAAATCTAGGATAAACACAAACCCAAGTAGAGACCCAGGCAATGTACAGCAGGAAATCTAGGATAAACACAAACCCAAGTAGAAACCCAGACAATGTACAACAGGAAATCTAGGATAAACACAAACCCAAGTAGAGACCTAGATAATGTACAACAGGAAATCTAGGATAAACACAAACCCAAGTAGAGACCCAGACTATGTACAACAGGAAATCTAGGATAAACACAAACCCAAGTAGAGATCTAGACAATGACCTACACGTACGTCGTAAAGTCCACCCCATTAATTATTTACCGCCACAGAAGGGTTTACGTGGGATAGATTGGGGGGGGGGGGGGGGGGTAAGATATCACAAATGAGTGTTGGATGACGTGTTACAAAAGCCCAACTGTCTCTAGAGGGAAGGTTTCTGTTGATTTCCTCTCAGATTTGTCAGGCAAGTCACCAACAGAGAAAGCTTTTTAACGTCAGTACAGTTGTTTCCTACTGGGGTCTTTCCCTAACTTAGTAACTACCACAAGTTGAATACACCAGCACCCAGATTTCTCAGGTAAATAACTTACAAACGTCGATACAATAGTTTCCTACTGGGGTCTTTCCCTAACTTAGTAACTACCACAAGTTGAATACACCAGCACCCAGATTTCTCAGGTACATAACTTATACCATCGATACAACAGTTTTCTACTGGCCAGCATAAACCGCCAACACGATGGACCCTTGAAGAAAACGTTAGACGTATGTACCCCGCCAACAACGGTAGGTGTATTCACAGTCTGATCGTTTGAACGTTTCTCTACTCTTCGCCACTAGGTTAACAGACATACCTCCAACCGTCCCCACCACCTCTCCTTTATGATATCCAGCAGGTTCGTGAAATCGCTGGTATATCGGAGTCAGATATGGATCGTAAGCTTTAGTTTATACTCACTAACTCAGAAATAGGGTAACCCATGGTCAACAACACGATAACCCAAATGGAACAAAACCGGTGAGCTCAAGCAGAACACGACATCACATGGGGTACTAGGCCATGATAAAATCATGTGATGGTGCCATTAACGTTCGTTTAATGCGTATCTAGCAGATCTCTTACAGATATAGGTACGGGGGGGGGGGGTGTGTGTCTAATCACGCTAAAATCATGTGGTGGTGCAATTAACGTTCTCCCTGACAAACCAGGGACTAACTAAAAGCAACACAGTTTGCTAACAAACGTAGGTGCAGTAGAACTTACCAGTAGCCGGTCCTTGACCTGTCAAAGAGTCGATACTCCACTAATCCTTCAGTTTAAATTAAATACTCCACTAATCCTTCAGTTGAAATTAAATACTCCACTAATCCTTCAGTTAGTCCTGACACTCAAAGTTGGAAGTAACCTGGAACAGAAAAACAAAGATGTCAACCTACTATCTTGGACAACAACACACGGATGCTGCTGTAATCAATCATCTATGGTCAACGCTATCGATTACCCGAATGATTGGTTACTGATATATGCCTGGTCTAATCTTGTCCTTGAAAACATCACACCATATATTATCTATCTGCACTACCCGGCTGTGTGGGTACACACCGCTACAGACCTACGGTTACATGTTACAGGCAGCTACAGACACATGGTTACATGTTACAGACAGCTACAGACCTGGGCTTACATCTTACAGACAGGGTTACATGTTACAGACAGCTACAGACCCACGGTTACATATTACACACAGCTACAGACCCACGGTTACATCTTACAGACAGCTACAGACCCACAGCTACAGACCCACAGTTACATGTTAGAAACCTAGAACAGCATTAAAACTCTCTCGCCAGCACCTCAGACTATATGTCAGTAAACAATACAACCACTGACTGCGTGCGTCCTTTATAATTGTGTACTTGACAAAGTTGGTCCCAAAATAGAGCCGGTCACAGTGCTAGTACATCTAAGTGCAATATCGCCCACTACTTGCTTATGTAACGGTGGGGAGGGGAAGGATGAGGGTGGGGGAGTGAGAAATGATCTATCGTCCAAACGAGAACTATTTAGTCTAACAGTGAAGTGGGTCATTAACCAACAATAGCAAGACAAGAGAGGTTACGACAAGGTAAAGTATCCTAATGATCTTGTATACACGCCATCATCTCACTAGTACAACATTGTCATACACATGTGTAATCATGCTAATACTATATGTGTATACCCAACTGTGTACAATACGAAGGAAGGAAGAAACCACATCCAGTAATGGAGGAAGGAGCCGCATCAACTGCTTGTGTATAAGACTGGCCCAGTTCAATACCCATCACACACAACTTAGTGGGGTCACTGATCAAGCAGATACCAGGTGTAATTGATGGAAGAAATTCGACATGATACAACACCCCCACCCCCCCCCCCCCCCTTTTTTTGGACAACCTCGCACGCCTTCCATTATTTGATGAAATTATGCGTACACAATTTCTGATGACATTTTTTGGAAATGATTCACGAGTCGACAGAACAAGGACCTTAGATCAGAAAGAAACATCATAATTTCGCGTAAGGTCAGACATAAGCACACACAAGGCGAGCAAGAAACATAATCACACGTTAGGTCAGCAAGAAACACAAGCTCGAGTAATATTTAGAAGAGCGAGGTAACAATCAGCGGGAAATAGCAGGAGAAATAATCAAGGAGAGAAAATTTCTACAAGCTTTTAGATGCACTACAAACGGGAAATGGTAAGTATAGGAATATGGTCTAGATGACCCTCGCCCCCTGTAGTGTCCACATAAAAAAGTGTCAGATGTTGAAGTGAGGCACTTGAGAGGTGGGTCAGGGATCGCCAACACTTGTCCTCCTCCCACGGTCACGTGGCTCATAACTGTCCCCCATCCAACCAATGGAAGACGGCACAAACCATCAAGCCTGAATACTCAAGCACTTAACGCGGCATATCATCAGGCGTTCATTCCTTGACCAGTCCACTTAGCTGCTGAAGCACCTAACGCAGCAGATCATTAGCTCGCCTTAGATGTTCTGGCACGTTGATATCACACGACAGTATGTTGTCATTACAACAACACTTCAGTAACACAGGCAACCATTTTACTAAAACACAGGACAGATGCCAAAGGAGAGGCGTCCGATTTTAGGACCAAGTAGTCTGATTAAAGGACAAAGATTAGAGGAAAATGACAACTATCCGTGGATCATTTAGTCTCCACAAGAAGTTTTACAAAGACAACTATCCGTGGATCATATAGTCTCCACAAGAAGCCTTGCAATGACAACTATCCGTGGATCATTTAGTCTACACAAGAAGTTTTACAAAGACAACTATCCTTGGATCATTTAATCTCCAGAAGAAGCCTTGCAATGACAACTATCCGTGGATCATATAGTCTCCACAAGAAGCCTTGCAATGACAACTATCCGTGGATCATATAGTCTCTACAAGAAGCCTTCCAATGACAACTATCCGTGGATCATTTAGTCTCCACAAGAAGCCTTGCAATGACAACTATCCGTGGATCATTTAGTCTCCACAAGAAGCCTTGCAATGACAACTATCCGTGGATCATTTAGTGCCACAAGAAACCTTGCATTGACAACTATCCGTGGATCATTTAATCTCTACAAGAAGCCTTGCAATGACAACTATCAGTGGATCATTTAGTCTATACAAGAAGTTTTACAAAGACAACTATCCGTGGATCATATAGTCTCCACAAGAAGCCTTGCAATGACAACTATCCGTGGATCATTTAGTCTACACAAGAAGTTTTACAAAGACAACTATCCTTGGATCATTTAATCTCCAGAAGAAGCCTTGCAATGACAACTATCCGTGGATCATATAGTCTCTACAAGAAGCCTTCCAATGACAACTATCCGTGGATCATTTAGTCTCCACAAGAAGCCTTACAAATACAACTATCCGTGGATCATTTAGTCACCACAAGAAGCCTTACAAATACAACTATCCGTAGATCATTTACTCTCCACAAGAAACCTTACAAAGACAACTAGCCCTAAGCTTGTCCAGTTGGAAGCGCTCGTTAACCCTCCATTTCTCACAATATGCATGCCAATAAAACACACCAAGTATCCGAGTTTTTGAGCCGAGGCCAGGGACCAGCCAACGTAGCAGATAGCCATCACCGCCCTGGCCGTATAAATATTTACTGTCCGAGATATGTGAGGAATGTCCGCTTATACGCCGGGCTGTCAATCAACTGGTGTCTGACACGGCAGAGGTTACACACAGCAGACATCGTGCAGGTGCACCAGACCAACCATAGTTACAACACACACCAATGTTATACACAGCAGACATCGTGCAGGTGCACCAGACCAACCATAGTTACAACACACACCAATGTTATACACAGCAGACATCGTGCAGGTGCACCAGACCAACCATAGTTACAACACACAACAATGTTATACACAGCAGACATCGTGCAGGTGCACCAGACCAACCATAGTTACAACACACAACAATGTTATACACAGCAGACATCGTGCAGGTGCACCAGACCAACCATAGTTACAACACACAACAATGTTATACACAGCAGACATCGTGCAGGTGCACCAGACCAACCATAGTTACAACACACAACAATGTTATACACAGCAGACATCGTGCAGGTGCACCAGACCAACCATAGTTACAACACACAACAATGTTATACACAGCAGACATCGTGCAGGTGCACCAGACCAACCATAGTTACAACACACAACAATGTTATACACAGCAGACATCGTGCAGGTGCACCAGACCAACCATAGTTACAACACACACCAATGTTATACACAGCAGACATCGTGCAGGTGCACCAGACCAACCATAGTTACAACACACAACAATGTTATACACAGCAGACATCGTGCAGGTGCACCAGACCAACCATAGTTACAACACAAAACAATGTTATACACAGCAGACATCGTGCAGGTGCACCAGACCAACCATAGTTACAACACACAACAATGTTATACACAGCAGACATCGTGCAGGTGCACCAGACCAACCATAGTTACAACACACAACAATGTTATACACAGCAGACATCGTGCAGGTGCACCAGACCAAACATAGTTACAACACACAACAATGTTATACACAGCAGACATCGTGCAGGTGCACCAGACCAAACATAGTTACAACACACAACAATGTTATACACAGCAGACATCGTGCAGGTGCACCAGACCAAACATAGTTACAACACACAACAATGTTATACACAGCAGACATCGTGCAGGTGCACCAGACCAACCATAGTTACAACACACACCAATGTTATACACAGCAGACATCGTGCAGGTGCACCAGACCAAACATAGTTACAACACACAACAATGTTACACCAACCATAGTTACAACACACAACAATGTTATACACAGCAGACATCGTGCAGGTGCACCAGACCAAACATAGTTACAACACACAACAATGTTATACACAGCAGACATCGTGCAGGTGCACCAGACCAAACATAGTTACAACACACAACAATGTTACACCAACCATAGTTACAACACACCAATGTTACACCAGCAGCACTCATTACACCAACAATAATTGGTGAAATACCCTAAGTATTAAACGGTAAACAATCAGGTGTACAGCAAAGCAAAATCGTGTTTCTAAAAACTGAAAGTGCCTTACCAGTAAAAGGTGTGTTGTTAAAACTTAGTACAAATGACAAGTGAGATGTCAATCCGCATAACTTATCAATCAAAATAGCTAGACTTCCAGTTGAAATATTCAAACAGATCTAGTGAGGGAGGCAGGGAGATAGGAATGTTATTTACAGGAAACTGCAGGGTTATCGTCAAAATGATACTGAAATGTTGAGCCTAATGACATTTTCAAAAAACTAAAAGTGTCCTTATAATGTTCCTGAAATGGAGATACTTTCGATCACTCGAAATAAAATAAATTGCTTTTTTAAAAATGCAATGCTTATTCTTAAAGATAAACCGACCGGTAGCTGTGATGGCGATCAATGGATGGACGTGTAGCAGCTCGGTCACTTGGTGCAAGTCAAGCCATGTTTTCTTCTTAATGTTTGTTTATAAGAAATAAACACCCCCTCTCCCCCATACACCGTGAAAGCCTCACTAGACCTGGCACCGCTACAGAGGGAGGACATGTCCCTCCTAATTCAACCTTGGCTGGTTGGTCAAGTGCAGGATTGTCCGGGTTGTGACAAGATTAGGGTACCCTTCAAACACAAACTTGTCCATGTTGTGACAAGATTAGGGTACCCATCAGACACAAACTTGACCATGTTGTGACAAGATTAGGGTACCCTTCAAACACAAACTTGACCATGTTGTGACAAGATTAGGGTACCCATCAGACACAAACTTGTCCATTCTGTGA